TAGTATCTGTACTTTTTGAAAATTTGTTACATCTTTAAAAATAATCTAAAATGTCAATATTCCATGGGTATATTGATAAATGAGGTCTAAATTATAAGAAAATGCATTTTCAACGAAAACTTGAAGACATGGGTAAAAAATGGTATAATACAATTTGATAGACAATTACATTGTGCATCTGATTCATGTAAAATATATAGGGTGTTCCATTTAAATTAAACAACTTATTGTCGGTTAAAGCTAGTAATTATTTAATGTAAATTTTTGGACACTCTGTATAAGATAGAAAAATTTTTATTATTGCAACACAATATCTGATCAATAAATAATGTGCAGTAAATCTTTAGTATTAAAAACTCTGATACCCTTGGAGAAATGAACCCTTAAAATTTTTACTGCAATTTCATAAAATTGAAAATATTTCAACAACGGTAAGATTTAAGTGTGATAAACCTTAATCAAATTTACCTTTATTTCAATCGTAGAATCCAACAATGGAATAATATACAGGGTGTTCCATTTAAAAAAATACAACTATAATATTTTTTACTTATTTGGGACACTCTGTATTTTGTAAAAATATTTTTAAATTGTAGCTCCAATAGTCCTTCAACGAACCCAAAACTTACAATTGGTAAAAATCTAATCGTTTAGCTACAATACTCCGTGTCGTATGTGGTGAACAACCCTGTATAGTGTTTACAGCTTTTGTCTTGCTTAAAACAATTTTTAATCATGTTGAAATCGAAATGATTGTTTTAATTTTATATTCCCTTTCAATCTTATTTATTTTAGCACTAAAGCAAGCCAATCATTAGAGAGCATGTTGCACAACATTTTGGCAACAACGGAGTCAAGTTTTCGCCGTCAACAAGTTTTCTAGCATTATTGGTTGGTCAACATGTTGCTAAGTGGCCAGCTTCTTGGGCGAGACCGAAGAGCCGCTATGTTGGGGAGTTGGTTCAACGCACAGGTGTTTGGTTCAACGCACACTTTGACGAGTAGGCGAGTTTGGTTTTTAAGTTTTGAGCTCGCTATATCTTTCAGTAACAATAAAGATTTTTAGAAAGCTTTCATTGAGTTATATGAATCTTCTCCGTGTTTATGGGACCCAAACTGTATTTTACATTTTCTTCAGTTTTAGGTCTATTGTCAAAATTGCTCCTTTTTTTCTTTGACAGAATTTTCATATTAGCCCACTCGTTTTCGTTGCGTTTTGTAAACTAAAATTTTCCTGATAATTGTTTCAATTCAATGTGTGGGATACCCATTTTGCTGTAAGTAATTTCCTGTGATAAAAATTCTTCAGAGTTGTAGATGATTTTTTTACTTTGTTATATAAATTTCTTATTATGCCCTCTTTTCTTGATGTCATGTGGTTGAAATTATGATGAAAATATAATCCAATCTGGGTTGTTGTCGGTAGATGGATTTACTGCAGACGGAATTATTGTAGTCATGTTTGGTATACTCGTACGTTTAAGAAAAAAAAACATTTTGAAAAAAGTTGTACCTCTACTTCCATTTTAATATGCATATTGGATTTTTGTCCAACTTTGTTCCAAATTATAAATGTGTCATCAACGTATCGTAACCATGACTTCGGTTTATTGGCTAAGATTGAAAGAGCCCGGAGTTCAAACCAATCCATGTAAATACTAATAACAAGAGGTAAAAATGATGATTCTATTCATAAATCTTATATCTATAAAAAAAACCGAAAACTTGGAGTGACTCAGTCATGAGGTGTTTTGATATTTCCTCACAAAATCTACATTCGCCCTTGTTTCTTAGCTTTAATGTACTGAAGTATTCATTATTATGTTTTTTAGATGTCATCGGGTATTTAACAGCTTGTAATAACATAAAAATGAACTGTGACTATATAACTTCTTAAATACTTTCGGTTTCTACTCTTAAACGACTCAAAACATAAACTTATTACCTGTTCAAAGAATGTGTTTCTTTGATAGAGTCGACCCTGTACACAAGAACCACCTCAGTAGCACGCGGAGAACGACAAAAGGACTAGCGACGACACGAGCGAGCATCCATGTAGCGGTAGGGTAAACAAGGGGGCTGGGGGCGGCGAGGCACCGACGGAGCTAATGTAGCAAGACGATGGCGCCACTGCGGCCCCCATACATCACACGGACAGGCGAACATGTGGATTTCGGATGCACCGCTGAGTCGTCCCGTGGCCCATTTACCTGGGCCACGTACACAATAGCCCTTTTTGTCGAAGCCGTCTCGGGGCGAATTTGCAAATTTACTATGATAGTGTGTATAGTATATAATATGTAATCGGTCCGCGTGGAGCAGGAAAACGACTCGTTTTATCACCGACACCTGGACACATTGTTTCGATCTTCTTAAATTATTTCGCGTGCAATTTGTCCTCCGTCATGTTTTGTTTATTGAACGAAGGAAAATAAAAAGATAAAGAAAAAAAGACATCTTAAAGTATCTTCAATATTCTCCTAAAATATTTGTAGATGAGTTTAGTTGGTTTGGTACTGATGGTTTTTGTTCATTTGATCTTTTGTAGTTGCCTTGCTAGTTGATGAAACCATGAAGATAGAGACTCATTTAAGTAAAATAACGTTTGGACCAATTTTAATGACCTCCGATTTTTTAGATTCGTCTCTGCCCCGAATAGCAGAACAACTATTAAAATATTGGAAACATTAACGGAAAAAATTATACGGAAAATTAATTTTTAAATAAATTAAGTTTGTGGAACTCCGCCATCTTTCGCAATTGACAGCTAACGTTACGCACACTTATAGCTTGACTTTTTACGTAAAAAATGTATCTTGGAAAAAAATTGCTACGAGCAACCGTTCTTCAAAATCAAATTTCTCATGTCAAAAAACTATCAGACACAAATTTTCATCCAAATATTGACCTTACTTCATAAATTATTTAGAAAAAATCGAAATAAAAATGGAACTTCTACACTCTGTATCTCTGAAACTAAGCATTTTAGGATGTATGTACATTTATACGACCTTTTTTTTCGAGTTTCCGGAATAAAGTTCGGACCACCCTGTATAGCGGTCAGTTGTTATTTCTTGTAAGATTTCATAGAATTGGTGTAAATTTTATTTTACTGGCTTTTGGATAATTATGATGGATTGGACAAAGAAGATAATTTTAGCATTGAGGACGAGAATGTTGTAAGGAAAAATACATATTGTGGTATACAAACCTACACACTAATTTGAGACCGTTTTCTAAACTTTGAGATCCTGTGGTAAATGGTTTCCTCCACATTGCAGTCTTTCTGTGTAAAGGTGTTGCTGTCACCATCTCTTTTGTTTTATTATAGGATAAATGATCTGCAACTATGTATGCAGCTAATACAACGTCCATGATGGTTGCTTCTATTTAAATAAACTATTCGTTTTTGGTTTATTCGTATATATCTAAAAAACGGTTAATTCAAGATTAATGAAAAATCTGTTTGTTTTATAATAATAATAATAGCTCCCGTATATAGCGTTTAACGCCTTGGGAGTAGCAAGGTACAGCTTGCTATACTAGAGCCGTTCGGTATACAAGGAAGGTAATGTGGCTAGCACTACGCTTCAACCGCCTATTATTACCTCAGGATTGTGAATCCCAAGTACTCATTTAAGGCTGAGTCGACCTAGGTACCCAAACTATTTTTCTTTTAATAAAAATAGTCGGCTGATGAAATGCCGGGTGTGGGAATCGAACCCACACCTTGAGATTGGTAGACGAGAGCCTGTACCTCTACGCCACCGGGCACCTTTTGTTTTAACTTTACTAAAAAACATGATATCTATTTCAGAAATATAAATTCCTTTTTTATCTCAATTAACAGGCAATAACAGTTCATTGGTCATAGTATTTCAAACAGGTATTTTTCAAGAATATCCATTTAACAAACTAAAAGAAGAAATTAACTAACACCACGTGCTTGTCCATTAGGCGTTTATACCTATTATTTTAATCTTTTTTTACTTTTTATTTTAACGCTTTTCTTAAATCTAAACCGACAATAAAAAGAAATCTCAACCGCAAAAATCCTCTCCATTGAAACACACTGGACTTCAAATAATCTAGTTCCAAATTTAACGAGTAATATCGTATTTCTTTGTGCCATGCAAAAAAATTAGTTCATTCAGATTTTACTCGTATTTTACAATAGTGGTAGATTAACCATGGTACTCAGAATAATAACTGTAATTGCATATAAAAATATATAGCAATTTGGTAGAGTCATACGTATGCATAATCCGCCAATTTCTTTCTTTTTAGTTATTTTGATTTCTTAATACTTTCACAAAAGCAAATTACAGAAATGTTAATCGATTTTATACGGATACCAACATCTCAGAAATATAGTTTAATATAATATTATTTTAGAAATCTTATACGGTTTTTGTCCTGCAAATGAAACTATGTATTGCACTAATTTAATGCGAATATACAGCAAAATAAAGCAAACTATTACATATTTAACCATTCAATGTGGAACATTTATTTAAAATAGATTAATTAAAAGAAACCAAATAGACATTTTTTATAACTAGTCGCAATTTTTAATGATTTTTTCATCGCTATTAAGGTCATATGACCGCGATTATGTCGGTATACTGTCATTTTTGCCTCAATAACTCTTTGAATTAAATTGTTTTTTCCAGTTCGGTAATTAATCTCATGTTTTAATTAGTTTTTAACAAATGTCATTTTAGATTTGGAACTTGTGTAACTGCACACTATTGATTTTTTTATCGACTAATTTAGAACGTTTTAATTATGTACTTAGATTGTTCCTTTTAGATTAATTTAAATAAATTCAATCAAATGCGAATAAATAATTGTCTGTTATTTACAACGTAAGCATAAAACGCAGGAATTTTGGTATTTGTACATTGCTTGAACTGGTAAAATAATTAAATAAAAAAAATCTTGCTGAATTGTTTTTTTTCCTGCTAAATTGTATTTTTTTTGTTTCAGAAAAATCTCATTTATATTTACCAAACATACTCAACAGTAAAACGAATTTCACCATTAACAAGAGCTTTTGGAGGCACTGAAAAAGGTAAGATTACTTATAATATCCGAATAACGTATGAACAAGTGGGCTTAGATTTTGACAGATAAAAAATTCTAGTATAATGTCCTGTAATAAGAATTACCTGTCATTGTCCAAAAAACTCTTGGTGAAAAATTACCTAATTACCAAAGTAATTTACATAATAATATTATTTGCTGATACTTAAGGTGTTTTAGACCAAGATATATCTCAAACCGAACTTTATCGTGAGATGAACCAAAAGTAAAGTTTCTTAGATTATCAGTTTAGATGAAATCTTAAACGGTTGACTGTACATATACATATGCTCCTGTACTAAACAGTGACTCTCTCGAGCCATTGGCCCATATTTACAGACAGAAAAATAAGTTTTTAGTTTTTGTAGGACTATGAATTATACTTTGCGGGTTACTATACTCGAATAGTGAAAGAAAAATAAATGAAACATAAAAACTATCCCAGATTACTAAACCAAGAACAACAACAAAAAGCATTGGAGTAAAGCAGATACGTAACAGTAGTTCTTTTACAAAAATTTCTCAATGAACGTTCATGTAGTAACGTTAATAATAATATTATATCAACTTTAAGAGAAAAAATTTACGGCCAACATCATCATCATCGTCATCATCATTCTCAGCTTATTCAACCATTGTAGTTAGATACTCTCTTTGTAGTTGGGTCCATTGTTGTCTATTGTTGGCTATGCGGGCCCAAGTTATCCCTGCTAATTTCCCAATATCATGGTCCCATCTCAGGTTTCTTCTTCTTCTGGGTCTCTTAATTTCTCCTGGGTACCATGCTGTAATTTTTGTGATCCATCTGTTGTCCGTCTTTCTTGCCAGGTGTCCTGCTCATTGCCACTTGAGGGATTTGATTCTGTGGATGACATCTACTACCTGAGTCTTTTGTCGTATTCACTCTATTCTTTTACGGTTTTAATTGATTATTCCCAGCATATTACGTTCCAATGAGCGTTGTGCGACCTGCAGTTTCCTTATAATGTCTGTTTTAATTGTCCATAATTTGTAGTACACATTGGTCGAACGTTTTATCCTTTAGATAAAGTGACCTTCTAGTTTTTTGAATATGATTGAGTTTCTTTCATAAGTACACCACGCTTAACTTAATTCTTCGGTTGATTTCTGATAGTAGAGATCCCGAGCTGTGTATTAGTTGTCCTAAATATATTATGTATTCTCCTACTATTTCCAGTTTTAACAACATGACCTAAACAATCTTGTACAGGATGTTTTAAAATGTATGGTTTATATTATTTTATTTATGAATGTGTTATATCATCGCAAAAGATATCAAAATTATAAGACTAGCGTGTACCCGCGACTTCGTTCGCGTCGAATTAATCATTTGTAATGGTGATGATAAAACAAAGCAAGAATTTCTATTAACATACAAACTGGATAAAATTTTCTCACATTTATGTCAGCATGAGAAAAAACAATATGGCGATATTATTATATAACTTTGTAATATTTGAGGGGTAGTTTCATCTCGTTGGAATTTGGCTTTCAAAAAATCGGTTTGCCAAAAATAAGCTTTTTACGTCAAGCAGTTTAAGCGGAATCGTAGTTAAGAAATTACCCAACTTTTTGGAACACCCTGTATGATTTTTTAACAAATTTCAAAATATGTAAAAAACCAAATAAATTATGCTTGTCCAAGCGTTTTCCCGAAAGACTAACCGTTTTTTAAATAACAAATATTGTAATATTTGAGGGCCATTTTCACCCTCTTGGAATTTGAGATTCGAGCAACCCCTCCTTATCGAATCTCTACACCTCACAGTCAATCCGTTTGCCAAAAATCAGCTTTAAACGTCAAGCAGTTTAAGCAGAATCATGATTACTCAATGGTCATATTTTATGAAACACCCTGTATAAATTTATAAAAAATCTTAAAATATGTAAAACAACAAAATAAAAAATACCTGTTTAAGAGTTTTTTCGAAAAACTCACCGGTTTTTAAATAAAAATATTTTAATATTTAAGGGATAGTTTCACCCCCTTAGAATTCGAGATTCGAATTCGTTCCCTTCCTATCGAACCTCTACACCCTAAAGTCAATCTGTTTTCCAAAAATCAGCTTTCTACGTCAAGCGCTTTAAGCAGGATCGTGATTAATCAATGACCAGATTTTTCGAAACACCCTGTATACATTTTTAAAAAATCTTAAAATATGTAAAAAAACAAAATAAAATATACGTGTTTAAGCGTTTTTTGGGAAACTTGACCGTTTTTTAAATAAAAAATATTGTAATATTTGAGGGGTGGTTTCACTCTCTTGGAACTGGAATTTCGAAAAATCCCTTCTTATCGAACCTCTACACCCTAGAATCAACCTGTATGCCAAAATTAAGCTTCTTACGTTGAGTGGTTTGAGCAGAATCGTGATTAATCAGTATGTCAGTCACTTAAGGATTTTATATATTAGTATAGATTACAATGTTGACTGACCACATAAAAATATATCACGTATTTAAGTGCATTAATTATGTAGGTTTCTTTTTTTACATAAACTTTTAATAAATTAGTTCAATGTAACACACATTTTTGTCAATTTAAAATACCACATTAATTTACTACTTTGACACCGTTTTTTTTTAAATCTGTGTGTTGTTCATAAAGCACAGGCGTAACCATTCTGAAATTAAAACCAGCAGGTACAGTTTTACGGGAAATTTATTTTTAATTATCAAACAGGTGATTTTTTTTCAACAAGTCGAGTTATCAAGTGGTATAGGCGGTCGGGCTCAAACCGCTAAAGCTTAAATTTCACGTTCGACCAAGTTTTCCCGTCCAAACAAACAAAAAACGTTCCGTACAGGTACGCAAACCGCAAATATCCTCTGCGTTCGTCAATGCGTTATGGATGGAGGTCGATATCTCAGCTGTCAGATGGCTAAACCAATAATCTAAAACCAAACACATCGCACGATGTCCAATCGTTCCATTCATCGAAGACTTCCGTTCGATAGCTCCTTATACGTGACCATATCATTGCCTTTCTTCTGAAACTATCGTTGTTTTTTGTAATAGAGCATGCAGCTTTTTAACCTTCCTTTACTAGCGCTTTCTTTTTGTACGGAAGTGCTAATACATCAATTTATTTTTGATAAGAAAAATTAATTAATAAAAATAATTTGGATGTCATATTAGTAATTATGTAAAACATATCCATTTATTTAGTTTATAACAATTGTAAACAATGAAAAGCTTGCAAAGTATTTATTTAGAGTCTACTTTGGCCTCATTGGTGTCATGATTTCTAGGACCATAAAAAATAACATCTTGCTTTACCAGTTTTGGACATTTTTTCCACTGTAATGTTTCAAAATCATGTACTTATTTCTAGGTCATGATGGTTCCTCAAGATTAATAGATTTATTTATATTATTATCATTACTCGTTCTGTTGTACCTTTCATACGTATATTTTTTCGTTATTTATATGCAATAATTCCTAATGCCGGGTCCAGACCAAGCAGACAAAACAACAAGACAGAAACATTCATGTTTTACGACAAAATTGCGGCAAATCCAATACATTTCTGCTACATCCTTGTCTCATTTTTGTTTTGTTTCAAAATTCGGAGACTTTTCAATGTCCCGTCTCGAGTGGGTCAAGATCAAAGTGTCTATGTTTTGTTCGTATATTTTACGACAAGCTGTCGGCGTAGTGTGAATGTCATGTGCTGCTAGGAGACCAGTGAAAAAAATCACACATGGTTATTAAAACTCATTCGCAACAACTAAACTTTTGACTTTTTTGTACTTTTGTCCTTGCGGTGTGGACAATTTGTCTCAAATCAACTCAAGTTTGTCTTGTTTTTGTCTCAAAATTGTTTTTACTTTTTGTCACCTTGGTCTGTGCCCGGTATAATATCGGATATACAATAATATAAAGAATTTGACGAAAAAAAAATGTTTGCATCTTTTTTCGTAACTATAAGGAAGTATTCAAACAAAACATTATTTATCAAATATAATTAATGACCAAACGTAAAATCTTTGCCTTAATATTTTTCTTTTGTTTAAAATGTTAACATCATGTTTGATATATTCCGAATTCTCCATAGTAGGTCAACAAGACCTTCAATAAATGGCATACTATGAGTTTTATTTCGTGCATTCCGATATACGACCTTAACATAATGAATTAATGTAGGTAAAACATGAAAATCTAGACTAATCTAGAAATTAGAAAATAAACATTATTAAAAAATATAAAAATACGTAGCAAGAAATATACAGGGTGAGTCTTAAATAAGTGAAAGTATTTTCAAGGCTGGTAGATCTCGATAAAAGAAACATATTTTCTCTTTATTGTTTTTGAAATAAGTCGAAAATAACCGAGTTATTTTACTTTGAAAATTTCCAAAAAAAAATATTTTTTGCTTAAATTTTGAGAACTACTGGATCTTTTCTGGGTATTCTTTCTTGTAAATTTAATCTACTACCTATGTTGTCATATTAGTAAGAAATTATGGTTTTTAAACAAAAACTAAAAATATTTTCAAAAAATTCCGAATTTTGGAAAAAAAATTTTCCCGAAAATAACCTCATATCGTGTTTCCTGGGTCGAATACTACCCTTAAAAATATTTGCACTTATTTCAGACTCACCCTGTATAAAGGCGGATTCTGACGACTCGTGTACTTGACCAGTACGCCAATATTTGCGTACTTGGTAAGAAGACTATCTTTGTAAACAACATTATTTTGCAACAAGCTTGGCGCTCACGCGGCGCGGCGCGAGGTGTAACAAATAATTGCACAAGTGAAACGCTCACACCACTTGGCAAGTATATGCCAATAGAAAATGTTTGTACAAGTACATGAGTCGTGAGAGTCCGCCTTACGATATAAATATGAAAAGATTTATTTACTTTTTTATTATAGAAATAGAAGAAATATATAATATGTATATACAGGGTGGTCCGAACTGTATTCCGGAAACTTCGGCAACATATTCTGCAGATAAAAATAA